CAGAGCAGATGCGCTTTCCATGTTACTCTTTTTGCAGAACCCATGGATAAGAGCACCATAAGCTGGAATATCGAGTTTGACACCTTTGTTCTTCATTTCGTCTCTCATTTCCAATGCTTGATCCATTCTGTTATTTTTGCATAACCCATCCATCAAGCTGGTATAAGTTATGACGTTTGGAGAAATACCATTGGCACACATCTCTTCGTATGCTGCAACCGCATAATCCATTTCACCTTCTTTGATAAATCCATCTATAATGCTATTGTAACTCATGCAACTAACACAAAACCGTTTTTCTTCGATCATATTTGCCAACAGTTCTCTTGCTTTGGATGTCTGACCAACTTTGCATAAACCATTGATAATTGTTTGGTATACAACCCCGTTGACTTCAATATTGGAAGAAGTCATTTGATTGACGACTTCCAAAACGTTTTGTTCATCATGATTCTTGAAACATCCATCAATCAGAATGGAATACGTGTAGTTATTCGGCTTTAGACCCTTTTCCAGCATATTTGAAAAAACAGTACGAGCCAAGTCCATGTTTTTCTTTCTGCAGTGGGCAAGCATCACGTTATTGTAAGAAACAACATTCGGTCCAATACCTCTACTTTCCATCTTCCTTAATAACTCCGTAGCTTTGTCTATCTTACCTTGCTTGCATAACCAGGATAATATAGTGTTACATATGAACACGTTTGCAAGACCGGTTTCAAAAGACTCGTCAAAGAGTTTCAGTGCCTCTTCATGTTTCTGACCTTTCAACCACCCTTGGATTATCGTGTGGACATGAAAGACAGAAGGAGTAAGACCTAAACTTTCCATTTTCTTGTAAAATTCAAGCGCCTTTTCCATTTCCCCGTTCTTACTAAACCGTTCTATCAGAACCGAAAAAGTAACGCTGTTTGGAGAGGGGCCTTCATTTTCCATCTTATAAAACAAATCCAAAGCACTACCCAAGTCATTGTTCTTGCAGTGTCCCGTGATCAGACTTGTCGCAGCAACTACATTCATCGATATCCCATCACTCACCATCTCATCCTTCCATCTAATTGCATCCTCCATGTTACCTTGCTTCACGGAAGCCAAAATCACAGAAGTATACGTTTCCTGCGACGGGACACACAACTTCTTCTCCTTCATCTCTCTCAATAAACTATTAGCCATAGCCAAATTGAGCGTCTTGCAACAAGCCTGAACAGCAAGACTATACAGTAAACTATCCGGTTCTGCTCCTCTCTCGATAGCTCTACTAAAAACCTCCAAAGCCTCCGCAGGCTTCTCTTCTCTCAAACTAGCTCGCATTAACAATTGCGTTGTGCCATTATCACCATCAACACCAATGGCAACCATCCTACTATAGAGTTCCTTAGCTTCAGTTATCGAATTCCTTTGAACTAAAGCACTCAAGGTCCTATTCACATATGGAACAAATGGAATCACACCTAGTTCCAACATCTGATTGACGATATCCACAGCATAATCCGTTTGCCTATCTTTGGAATAAGCATTCAACAAGTAATTAAAAGCTCGTGAATTGACTTCAAACCCAAACAACTTCGCCGAATCCACCAAATTACTGACCAAAACACTTGCCATTGGAGTTGGATTGCTCGTAGAAACGTACCGTATGAGCAAATCGCTTGCACGTCCATAGGTCTCAGGAGAAGTAACCAGAATATGAATGAGTACCCAGAAGACGTCACCATCTTCAAAACTTCCACGCCATGGTCTAGCCCAATTATAGAAACGAAGAGCAGCTTCTGGGTTGTTCCTGCGATTGAGAAGAACGTCGATTACAGATGCATCGTCCTTCTGTTCAGGCTTAGCAGCCAAAAGACTCACTTTGGAGGTAACTGGGTTTTCTTCAGAAGTGGATCCGCAAACTAGTCTCTGCTCTTGACTTGGATTCTCAGATTCTTGAGGAAATCGAGACTGTGAACAAAAGGGTTTATTGTTTCTCAACCAACGGAGACGAAGCCCTGAAGGGATTTTTCTAAAACCCAATAAAGATCTCATCTTTTTGGGTTCTCTCAACTATCTTCAGCAGAGAAAATAATGTTCGGAGAAAAAAATAAAAGAGACAACTTGAAATCCCGAAGATACAAAAAAAAAAAAAAAAAAAAAGCTTAAACCCTAATTTCGTCTATTAAACGGCGTCGTTTTGGGGGTTTTTCCTTTTAAAAACATTCTCTTTTCCCGTTTTATCTAATTTCCCAAAGCACAAGAAAGAAAGAAGCAAAAATGTCGAATTGCAGATTTCTCTACCACAACGGTGTCGTTTTGGAGGCTCCTCCCGTCACCACCTTCCTTGAATCGCTCACGGGTATGCAATCAAAACTATATAGACTGCAAAAGTTTGAATTTTTTTGATTAAAAAGTTTTGAGAAATCTACAGGTGCTTATACAACGACGAGAACGATAAACAATGGCACTAGTTTCTTGTTCTGGGAGAGACATATGAAGAGACTTTCTAGCTCGATTCGTATCCTTTTGAATTCAAAGCCTGAGCTTTTGTTCAGTTCTGGGTCATCACCGCGGGTTTGGATGAATCAACCAGTTCCTCATTCGAGTATATACGATCTAATCAATGGTTCTATGAGCGAGGCCCTGAAGTCTGTTGTTGTCAAGGAAAGTGATAGAATTTATGGAGAAGAATTAGCGGTAACTGTTCTTGTTACTGGTAATGTGGGGAAATTGAATAGGTTAGATGATGGGAACAAATGTGATGAGGAGAGAAAGGTTCTGGATTTTCTAGATGTGTGGTTGCATTTAGGTGCATACTCGCCTTTCCCGTTAGATGTTCGAGAAAATGCTGCGAGTTTGGCTTTGGTTGGTCGTGGACGAGATGTCGCTGCTGCTAAATACTCAGACTGGGTTAGGTATTTGTGCTTGTGCTTATTTAACCGATTCTTGAGGATTCTGATAGCTCAATTTGTCAGGGATTTAGCTTGTGGATTATTTGAGTTTTGTTGTTTCTTTCTTAATCTCGGTATGGTTTATGATTTAGGCAGGCTTAGGAAGCCTCTGGAGAAGTTTAGATCTCCTTCGACCACTGAACTTCTTTTGTCAAACGATGGTGATCATTTACTTGAGGGCTGCATCACAAACTTTTTCGTAGTTTGCCGCAGGGTACTAACAAAAATTTGGTTTTTTTGTTCAAGCACAATTCACCTATGTGATTATGATGTTTATTGTCTTCATTTATGTGCATTACAGAAGTTTGAATTTCCTTTTTGCCATTGCATGATTTGCTGTTGGATCTCATTTTAGGTGAAGTCATCAGAGAATCTCTACGGCGGGAGTTTGAGCGAGTTTGAGGTGCAGACCGCACCTATAACTGATGGTGTGCTAGCAGGAGTTATAAGAGACCTTGTCATCGAGTAAGAAAGTTTTTAAAAGGCCACAATAAGTTAGACCATTAAGAATGTTGAATATATTAGTCTCTGTTTATGGCCTGATCAACCAATAATTTTGCTTTCTTGTCAGAGTCTGTTTAAGCAAGGGGATTCCATACCGCGAGAGAGCACCTTCGTGGTCTGAGCGTGAGCTTTGGGAAGAAGCCTTCATTACAAGTAGATCTTTCCATATCCATAATCTGTTTTCTAATATTCTCGCATATATATACTTGTTTTGGCCGAACACTTTTAATGTGTTGTGTGATGTTTGTATTTTTTAACATCCCAAGAACTCATTGGATTCAGGTAGTCTGAGGATTTTGCAGCATGTAGGGACGATCAAAGTACCCATTGGTTCATTGGAGGCATTGGCTTGTAACAAACCTGAGGAGATTCAATGGAAGGAGAAAAGGTTTAAGGAAAGACCTGGGATGATCACTGAATTAATCCAGGTAAAGCTTGTTACTTATATTACCCTTAAAATCATTGGTTTTAGTCCAGTTTTGTTCTTGTCTGAGTCAAATCAAAGATAGAAATCACTTAAAATTTTTGTTTGTCATTGTTATGCTGGAGTAGAAAGCGGTAATGGAGAGAGGTATTGAAGAAGGGTTCCCGTTGAAGGCCTTTTAGTGCTCTTCATGATTTTGCCAAATAGCTGAAATGTTGATTCGTCTATGGTTTGTATTGACGCCAATATCTTCCCAAATCATCACTGATTATTATTTCATCGATCTAAAATGTTTAAAATGTTCTCATTTTAATATCTGTATTTGGTAGTTTATTGTCATACTTATGGTTGTGTTGCTTCAATAGCTTCAAAGATGAAAATTAAAAGTTCTTTTGTTGTTGTTGTTGTTGTTGTTGTTGTTGTTGTTGTTGTTGTTGTTGTTGTTGTTTATTCTGAGAATATAGCCAATATATAATCGCTAAAATAATTAATTATTTGTGACCTAACACTGAATTTAAGTTGGAATACACGTTAGCAATGTGAGCTAGAAAACTTGATAACGTTCAGCAAATATCCACGTCTTTTAATTGCATGATGCTTGGTTGATCTGATTTTGTTGTTTTTTTGTTTTTATGTTTTCGCAGTCACATATAACCAAATAACTTGTGTACTTTTTTTTCCGAACTTGGTCTCATAAATAATTGAATTTGTCATTTGAAGTCAAAATAAAGATGCACAAGTTTAGCTATAAGCTAGAACATTAAGTTTTTGCGGAATAATGCAAAATTGTACGAAATAGTGATACACTTACTTATTATTCATTTATTTTCCAACACGTTCTTGTGGCACACAGCTCTGTTCTGTTACATGCACACATATATCTTCTTCATGTTACACGATGTACTTTCAAATTCTTCGTTGAAATCCAAGACACTGGGGGACACATTATCTAAACGGCGAGTTGACGAGAAGAAGAATGTAAAACGATGAAAAGAAGGAAAGAGAATATTGGTTGCTCCACGAGGCCACTTGAATTCTTTTTCCTTCTCACATCAATCATGTTAATTTGGGCTTCCTCATTAACTTAGCCAGCACAAATGTTGGTCTTATGAAGGTATATATGCAATATGAGCTACAACGACTATCACTTCCAAAAACATAGTTATGATGATGATATGACCCTCCAAAATTTAAGAAAGATATGTACGTTCAAAGTTCAGATACAATAAACTCTTTTTAAAATAAAATAAAAATCCACAAGAACTAGATACACAACTTTATATAGATCTCAAATATATTGTTATTATACTCGTTATTACGTATATAAATATAAAAATAAACAATGGTAAATAAATAAATAAATGGAAGTTTATCGTATGTTTTATCCCATATCGGAATTAGCATATAGTTGCAAAATTTTACGTTCTTCCTAACAATACATTCAGCCCAGGACCACCCTTCGTGTTGGCAAGTAATATTACATCTTCTTAAGCCGTCAACTCTATTACAGAGCCCTGGAGGCGCATGTTTGCTTGGGACTCCTTCACACTTACATTCGGGACATCTAACAGCCGTTGTTTTTCCTATTGAAAAATACACACCAAATGTAAAAGATCAAATACAAGCACATATCCAAGCCTTTTTACGAGATTTATAAATTATGATCGTACCTATTAGAATCAACAAGCATATCAACGAAAAAACAATGTAGCTAACTCCGATTTCACTCGTTTTAGACATTTTTTGTGTGTATTGCTTTTTTTTTTTTTACTGATTGAATGTTTATGTGTTTCAACGTCAAAGTATTGAATATAAAGAGTTGTCAGTACTAAAAATAGAAGCAAAATAAAAGTAGTCCTTAGAGAATATTGCCTTTAAAACTGCTTGTAGAGGAAGAAAATAGAAATTTGATGGACATCATATTTTCTCCTTTTTTAACTTTTTTTTTTGAGTAAATCAAATTGATTGATATCTGAAAAAGATTACATGATACATAAACATCTCAAAACAAACGTTTACGCAAATACAAAAAATTATTACAATTTAGAGGAATTAGTAAAGAATAACTATGTTATCTTTATACTTATAGACTAAGAGATATAATCTGTTAGAGCATCTCTAACAGTAGTGTCCTGAGAAATGTCTCAAGATTAAAAAAATAAAAAATAATAAAAAATAGGAGAGAGGGTAGACACTGGTTTGAGAAATTTTGAGAAATTGTGTCTCCACTTGTCTTTATATTATTGGTCAAATTCTCTTTTTATAATTTATAATTTAAATAAATAATTTATTTATTATAAAATGATTAAAACAATATTTTTGAGACACCCACACAATGTCTGATGGATGGAGATGGTCTTATGTTCTTCATTCACATACTTTTTAATTATTAGTATTTTTCTTCATTTGAAATGATATTATACGAGGATACTGTTTGAAGTTTGATATTTTAGACTGAAAATATTTCTAAACCTTTATTAAATTCGATGGGCGATTATAGCTAACAATAAGTAATTGACCCATTCATCTTACAACTATTTAATACCTAGGTGATTTTGTCCACACCCGGGAGAAAAATAGATTAAAGTTTTTTTTCTTTCTAAAAATCAGCTATGCATTAATTACGTATTATGACTTAATCATTGGTCGGATTTGCAGTAAATCGTTTAATCTTGTTTGTACATTTTCCATATATCCTGCAAGTATGACACTATCATATGTTAATCCGATAACTTCTTAGACACATATGATGAGTAATCACTATAAAAAAAAAATCAAGACCATGTGTTAATATGCTAAACTACAAATATAAAATACCACACTTGTGCAACACTTAATAAAAATTAACATCATAATAATTAGTTAATTACTACACTCTTGGTCTATGCACGACACCCGCCTTTAAATAATAAATCCAGGTGCATGACACTTCCACGTCCCTCGCTAGATCTAACCTTAAGTCAACGATGACTCACAAAGGCCACGTGTCACTCGTTCATTCGAGTTATCCACGTGACTTCTTATTACAGTCTTCTTGACTCTTTTTTTTTTTTTGGCTGAAAATTATAAAACCCAAAATCCCACAAACTTGATTACTTACATACAACAATGGCGTCGTCATCTACAAGTATCTCTCTCCTTCTCTTCGTCTCTTTCCTTCTTCTTCTCGTTGACTCGCGTGCAGAGAATGCGTCCAGTGGATCGGATCTCGACGAGGAATTGGCTTTCCTCGCCGCGGAGGAATCTAAGGAACAAAGTCACGGCGGCGGTTCGTACCACGAGGAGCACGATCAGTACCGAGACTTCGAGAATTACGATGATCTCGAGCAAGGAGGCGGCGAGTTTCATCACGGCGAGCACAGTTACGAGGAGGAGCCGTTACCAACAGTCGACGAGAAAGACGTGGCGGTTTTGACCAAGGACAATTTCACCGAGTTCGTCGGCAACAATAGCTTCGCGATGGTGGAGTTTTACGCTCCTTGGTGCGGCGCTTGTCAGGCTTTGGCGCCGGAGTACGCCGCCGCTGCCACGGAGTTGAAAGGCGTTGCCGCGCTCGCCAAGATCGACGCGACGGAGGAAGGGGATTTGGCTCAGAAGTACGAGATTCAGGGCTTCCCCACCGTTTTCTTGTTTGTCGACGGAGAAATGCGCAAGACCTACGAAGGCGAAAGGACTAAGTAAGTGTACATTGTTAGGATGACATGGTTTTCTGAAAAATATTGAGATATGAACATAGATAGGTCATCAGGTTTAGCTTTGGATCTTGAGAGATTGTTTGATTTGGAAGATAAATTACTCATGTTAATGATGACTCTGAAGAAAGTCAACTATGAAGAAATTTTTTGAATTATTGATGTTGATGAACCTAGGAAGAAATAGTGCAATAGAGGGGCATGTGATTTATTCTCTCTGCTTTGGTTTCTCATCTGTTAGTTTTCAATACGAATTATTGGTCAAAAAATGCGTTTCACCATTATTGGTGTCCTGATTGGATAAAAAAAATTAATTTTGCAGGGATGGTATTGTGACTTGGCTGAAGAAGAAGGCCAGTCCTAGCATCCACAACATCACTACTAAAGAGGAGGCTGAGCGTGTTTTGTCCGCTGAACCTAAACTTGTTCTTGGTTTTCTCAACTCTTTAGTGGTATGTATCCTCTAAATCCAAGGTGTTTCTTGCGTTCCTTCTTGGATTTATCTCTCCTTTTTAACTTCTCAGAGTTTTAAAACTTATGATCAACCAAGTTGGTTACTGTGGGACTTCTCTACCTGAGAAAACCAGAAAGGATAAGAAATGGAACTGTTATCGTTAAGCATATTATTGCCTCTAGTGTTTAGTATGTCAAAGATACAAGTGGTTTCCATTGCAGTATATGTAAGGTTGCCATTAGGTTTTGTATATCAGATCTTCTTGTCTAGTGCGTTTTTCTTTGTGTTGCAGAGAGTTTTAAGAGGCTGGATTGACAAGTGTGAAAATATTTTGCTTTTAATATCTTATTTTTGCCATATTTTTCACCATTTTCTCTTGCTCAGGGGTCAGAGAGTGAGGAGCTTGCAGCTGCATCCAGACTGGAAGACGATCTCAGTTTTTACCAAACTGCAAGCCCTGATATTGCAAAGCTATTTGAACTAGAAACCCAAGTCAAGCGTCCTGCCTTAGTTTTACTGAAAAAGGAGGAAGAGAAACTTGCCCGTTTTGGTAAGACTCCTCGAATACATTACCTTTTTTTTGTGCTACTTAGATTTCCTCTATGTCTCTCTCATCAAGCTTCTTTTTGGCAGATGGAAATTTCACTAAAACGGCTATAGCAGAGTTTGTGTCAGCCAACAAAGTCCCATTGGTGATCAATTTCACAAGGGAAGGTGCATCACTGATTTTCGAGAACGCTGTGAAAAACCAAGTAAAAACAATTTGTCTCTCTAATATTTCCCTTTATTTATTGCTGCTATTAACTAATGAGATGGCATTTTGTAAAACCCTTGTCAGCTCATTCTTTTTGCCACGGCAAATGAATCAGAGAAGCACCTTCCCACTCTGAGGGAGGTGGCAAAGTCCTTCAAGGGAAAGGTAATTTTTATCTTTGAATTTTCTGTGGTCATTTTTGCTCACTTTCTGGAACATTTAAAAATCACCTCGTGCAATTATTAGTTGCGATTGATATATACCAAAAGGAGAGGTGGATGATAACTTTAGTTATTGAATCAAAAGGGCAATCTTCTCTTTTGTCTGCAGTTTGTTTTTGTTTATGTGCAAATGGACAATGAGGATTATGGAGAAGCAGTTTCTGGATTCTTTGGTGTTACCGGCACTGCCCCCAAGGTAAAGTAGTTGGTGTGAAATATCTGTGTATCGGTTTTGTTTCTGTTATGCACATGATACAACAAACCAAACTTTGGACTACAAGGTTTAAGTATCCAATCTTTCCTTGCGTATGCAGGTTCTTGTATACACTGGAAATGAAGATATGAGGAAGTTTATTCTGGACGGTGAATTGACCGTAAAGAACATTAAGGTAGGCCCAACATTCTAGTTTCTGTGAAATTTTATGGTTTAAGGGCGTTTTGTTGGTTATCTTAACGCAATGGCTTTGTTTTAAAATAGACACTTGCGGAAGATTTCCTAGCAGACAAACTGAAGCCTTTCTACAAGTCAGATCCACTACCGGAAAATGTAAGGCGTCTGACATATTTTTACACACATCTAACATCCCCACACAATACTGATTCACTTGCTCCTAAATGAAACGCAGAACGACGGTGATGTTAAGGTCATTGTGGGAAACAATTTTGATGAGATTGTTCTTGACGAGTCAAAGGATGTTCTTCTCGAGGTAATAATCACTTAAATTTTTGAATTGAAAACCGTTAGAGCCTTGCTTACACATCTTAGGGTTATATATGCCTAAAGCGTGAGTTTTGTCAATAGATATATGCTCCTTGGTGTGGGCACTGCCAATCATTTGAGCCTATTTACAACAAGCTTGGAAAGTATTTAAGAGGCATTGACTCGTTAGTTGTAGCAAAGATGGATGGTACCAGCAATGAGCATCCTAGAGCAAAGGTGATTAATAAAAACAAAAAAAAATTACGAAAGAGCTTTTGGTGATTCAAGACACAGAGATCTGATTTTGGTTTTTTTCTTACTCTCTTTTTGTTCAGGCTGATGGGTTCCCAACAATCCTGTTCTTCCCTGGTGGAAACAAGAGCTTCGATCCGGTTAGCAAATATATCAAACAGTGTTTTGAAAACCTGCAAATATTTTTACTTGAGTACTGAAATTGTTATAACTGTCTATCGTAAACCAAAAAAAAACAGATCACTGTGGATGTTGACCGTACAGTAGTGGAATTGTACAAATTCCTGAAGAAGCACGCATCAACCCCATTTAAACTTGAGAAACCGGCAACACCTGAACCGGTGATCTCGACCAAGAAAGCTGATGAGAAGATCGAGGGTGATAGTTCCAAGGATGAGTTGTGATGATCGGAACAGAGTGTGTAACAGGCTATAGATGAAGACTCTTCTATACATGATAAAAAAATGTTTTGTCCTTGTTTTTTTTATTGTTGTATGCTATGAAATGAATAATTAAAAGAATTTTTGGTTTCTCAAGTTTGTGGATGTAACTGGAGGTTTGTTTGATCCACACATGATAGATAAGGCCCATGTTTCTCCTCCTCATTTGTATGAAGATGGTGTTAGATGGTTGGAAGAATTCTTGTAGAGACAAGAATGTTGCATTGATTCTCAAGCTCGCCTTTCATGCATCCATCTACATTCTTTGGAAGGAAATAAACTCAAGACTCCATAATGCCTCTTCAAACCCTGCCTCTGTCCTAATTCTAGATATATAATGAACATCATCTGGTGTCGTCTTGACTCGCTAGCAAGAGAACTACGAATATTGCCTCCAAATGTCTCTTATCTCTAGCTATTTGGTTTGGAGTGTTCCAATCTTAATGTGCTCTTGTGTATTCTCCCTTTGTTGACATTGTTGTAGGTGTGACTCGTCTTATGAACCGCGTATTATGTGACTGGGGTTTCAAGAGTTTCTTGACCTGATTGATTATTAATGGTATGTGTTAAAACAAAAACTCTTCATATTATCTTCGACCATCCTGTCCATCAACTAAGTCTCGTGAAGTCCGAAAAATCAGGATTGGGTACTTGATATCATCTCTTTCTTCTTGGGCCATCATACTTACTTTTATGTTTTCTATCTAGCTCTTTGTTGGGTTTTCTATGATTCAAAGTCGATTCTTCATTTTTTATGTGGGCTGGGCTAATTAGTCAGTTGGGCAATAATTACTTTGTAACAATTTCGTTCCCATGTTTTCAATCAAATCGATTATCGATTATAAGAAATAAAATAAAATTAATAATAAATATATAAATTGAAGTTTTTCGTGTGTTATCGGTTACTGAAGACCAACGTTGGATTAGTATAATAGTTAAATTCAGTTAAGCCGAAAACGTAGATACTAGATACCTAAAAAGATACAAGTTCGATTTTCGTTGAGAGAGATAATTTATTGAAATCTGATTTTGGTTCCGAAAGATCGATGAGCTAGCCACGAATTTCAAATTACAGAAAGAAAAAAAAAAGATAGTTGGTACGAATTACGAAATATTTTTTTAAATGAAAACATTAGTTCACTTTTATACTGAAAAGACATTTTAATATTCTATATGGCTAACCGAATAAATGAACAATTCAAATGAAAATAAAAATAGTAGACGGAATGACAAAAAATATATAATTAAAATGCTAGCGTCGTCACATTTATTTTATAAATTAAACGTATTATATAGACCGGATTAATGGTTCTGACTATAACAAAATGTAACAAACCAAATAATTATTTGAATTATGTATTTTTTTTTTAAAGGAAAAAATAAGAAAGTGTCTTCTAGTTAAGTATAGTTAACCATCCATTTCTAAAATTTTATTTATCGGAACTCGATTCTAATCACGTTATTCCACATAATAGAATTTGGACTATAAATTTATCAACTTAATAATGTCCCAAAAAAAGGTTAGAGAACACGATAGAACTTTGACTTATGAAACTTTACATGAACATATATATATATATATATATATATATATATATCTAATCTAATCTATTATTGAAAATTCTATAATTTATTTCTAGAGTCCCTCCACACACGTTTCTGCAAAAAAAAAAAATATACTAGACATCTCTTTTCCGTAAAGGTGAAAATATATACAAAAAAATATCAATATTTTTCTTTTAATTAACATTTCATTTCTTTTAATTGCATTTTATATATAGGGAAATGTTGGGTACAAACCAACGTCCCACATCGGAAGTTTAGAAAAGAAGTTTCTAATATATAAACAAAGTCCAACTCTAATTAATATGAGGCCTTTTGAGAAGGAGCCCAATAACAAATCTGTGCGGACTTGAGCATGTAGGTCCAAAGCGGATAATATCATATTAATGGAGGAGTTGGAATGGGCTTAGAAAGCCCAATAAATGGTATCAGAGCCTAGGTTGAAAAATGTGGACCTAGGAGTGTGGGCTAAAGTTCGGTCTGGGAGAAGCCCTCAAATGTGACACGATAAGAAGGTGCCTCAAGAACTTCGCGAATAAGAAAGTGCCTAGTTAGGGTGCCTAGGTTTCGCTGAAGAGGAGGTCCAATGTTCGTGGTCCTTGGTTTGAAGGGAAGATTGTTGGGTACAAAACGTCCCACATCGGAAGTTTAGAAAAAAAATTTCTAATATATAAGCAAAGTCCAACTCCAATTAGTATGAGGCCTTTTGGGAAGGAGCCCAATAACAAATCCGTGCGGGCTTGAGCATGTAGGCACAAAGCGGACAATATCGTACTAATGGAGGACTTGGAATGAGCTCAATAGGAAAAAAAAAAACAGATTTTGAAAGTAAAGCATTCAACGTTTATTAGTTCTAAAACTAATTGAAGCTCTATATTAGCGTTACATTTGTTATGTAAAATAAGAAAGTCAAAGAGGCAGAGTAAAGATTAGGTGATACTTGCAAAGTTACCTTTCTTTTCCAAAATATAAGTTACGTCTCAAGTTTATCAAACTATTAGTTATGCTCTACATTTTTTTCCAATCTATAATTTATATTTGTAAACAGAAACAAATGCCTTTTAAAGTCTTGTATGGAAAATTAAATCCAAAAAAGTTAGTATCATTAGAGTAAATATTCATTATATAAAGATCTTTTTCATACTCAAATATGGGAAATTTTAGCATCAACAGTAACTTTTATTTTTTCTTCCAATATATAAGCATTTAATAAAATAATTACTCAAAGTATAAAAATAATAAAGTCCCTGTAAAAGTGAATGCAACTACAAGTCTCTGGGATGGCAAAATTGTTAGCACTAATTATGTGTTTGTAGTACATAAAATAAATAAAAATTATTAATTGCTCGTTCCTCTTATTATTAATAATCCGTGGTTTGTCCTTTCTCTTCAATCTGGGTTTGGTGGGGAGGTTTTAAGTCAAGCGTGCGATATATATATCTCAAAACAGACATCCTCTGTTCTTGCCTCTTCTTCTTCTTCTTCTTTATCTATACTATATTGGTGTTTCATTTGTTCTGCTTAAGAGTAAAAAAGATTCATCCTTTGATCGGTCCTCCTTCTGATTTGGCAAAAGACGAGCTCGCTCGTGTTTTGAACAAGAGATACAGGATTTTGAAGATTCCTCGCAAAAGAAAGACTAAAACTTTTTTTGAATTTGAGGGGGAAAAGAAGAAAGATACCATTTTTTTTTACCAGAAGTCGAAGACTGGTTTTTTGGTTTTGGTCTGAAATCTCTCTTTCTTCGTGTTGTTCATAGTATGTCTTAATTGGGGTTAAGTTACTTGATTGGTTTCTCTCGATCATCATGCATAGAGTACGCAATAAACCGATTAAATCCACTGCTACTGCTTCCGTTAAGCATTTAATCAAACAGAGAGGCGGAGGGAGCGACGGAGCTACGGCGGCTTCCAAGTCGGCGAATGATAATAATAATCAGAATAATAGCCTCTTGACGGATATGCAGGAACCTAGCATCGATACAGATAAACTCAGCTACGAGATTTTCTCGATTCTTGAGAGCAAATTTCTTTTCGGGTACGACAACAAAGACGACGACCCCAAAATCAATTTCGACCCGAAACCCGAACCCGAACCCGCCAATTCCGCGGTTGCTGGCTCGATTAAGAACCAGAGAGGTAAAATCTGTATTCTGAGCATCGATGGAGGTGGAATGAGAGGGATTTTACCCGGTAAGGCTTTGGCTTATCTAGAACACGCTCTCAAATCTAAATCGGGTGACCCGAATGCCCGAATCGCCGATTACTTTGATGTAGCCGCCGGGTCCGGTATAGGTGGGATTTACACAGCGATGTTGTTCGGGTCAAGAGACGGTAACCGTCCGATCTTCAAAGCAGAAGACACGTGGCAGCTCTTAACGAGAAACGCCAAGGGTCTTTACGGAGGAGGAGGAGGAATCTTGAAACGGGTCTTGAGAACCGGGTCGGGTTGTCGTTCCGGGACGGCTAAGTTAAAGAAAGTGATGAAAGAGTCTTTCTCGGAGCTAACCTTAAAGAATACGCTTAAACCGGTGCTTATACCTTGCTACGACCTCAAAAGCTCTGCCCCGTTTCTGTTCTCACGCGCGGATGCGCTTGAGACGGACGGCTATGATTTTAGGCTATGGGAGGTTTGTACAGCGACTTGGGCTGAGCCGGGGGTGTTTGAGCCGGTGGAGATGAAGTCGGTTGATGGGCAGACCAAGTGTGTGGCCGTTGGTGGAGGATTAGCGATGAGCAATCCCACAGCGGCTGCAATCACGCATGTGCTGCACAACAAGCAGGAGTTTCCGTTTGTGCGAGGTGTTGAGGATTTGCTTGTGTTGTCTCTTGGTATGGGTCAGTTGCTTGATGTTAGTTATGAGTATGATCGGATTATCAAGTGGAAGGCTAAGCATTGGGCCCGTCCCGCGGCTCTTATTTCTAATGACGGTGCTGCTGACACCGTCGATCAAGCTGTGGCCATGGCTTTTGGTCACTGCCGCAATAGTAATTATGTCCGGATTCAGGTATTGGCCACACTGCACAATTGCATTTGATAACTTTAAAAAATAGTTGATTTTCTTAAAAAAACTAGGACATTTCTTTTGATTTAATGAAATTTGTGATTGGTGATAATTTTGGTGTTATATAAAGTTCATTTCCAAATCCTAGTTATCTGGTTTGTGTGATTTATATGAGCTTAGTAGCATTGTTGGATGATATAAAGTTTGGATATGTACTTGTAGGTTTTTAGCAAAAATTTTATGTTTATGTAGTTATGAATTGATGTGTGTTGTTGCAGGCGAATGGGTCGAGCTTAGGACCATGCAGTCCAAACATAGACACAGACCCTAGTGAGAGCAATGTGAATATGTTGGTGGGAGTAGCAGAGGAGATGCTGAAGCAAAAGAATGTAGAATCGGTTTTGTTTGTAGGTAAAAGAATCGATGAACAGAGCAACTTCGAGAAGCTTGACTGGTTAGCCGGGGAACTTGTTCTCGAGCATCAAAGGAGAAATAGCAGAATCGCTCCAACCGTAGCGTTTAAGCAATCCATCCATAGAGCAGATCAAAAGACAAGGGACAAAGATATCGGTGTGACCGCAAGAGAACGATAAAATAAGAAAATGGTTTACTTAGATGATTGTTTAGGATAAGGTTTTATTTCTTTCTTCTTAGGTCATGATTTGTTGTATAGATTTGTATTTTTGAGTTCGAGTGTCCGAGACATGATGAGAAAAGGGGAAACACCTATCATCTTGCAAAAGGGCTCAAGCTCCTTCATTCATGCTGCCAAAAAAGAAAAGAAAAAAAGAACAAAATGAATCCTGTAATTTCGGTTTGTCTTTGTTTTCATATAATGATCATGATTTCTTCTTTGACATTTCCACTAGCTCAAGAAAGGTTATTAATCAGCTTTATGTAACCCAAATGAATCTAAAATGTGTTTATTTTTTAATTGCCTTCTGCTTATGTGGAAAGAGAGGGCTGTGAAAAGAGAACAGTTTAGATTCTAACTTGTGAACACAAATGAATTTAAAAACGCTAAAGTTATACTCCCTCATTTCCTTGAAGTTTGATGTTCTAGTGTTTTGAGTTTGTTCTACCAAGATTGATAAACTAGATTTTTTTTTATTTTTAATTAATTGATTTTAGTAAATCGTAGATTTCAAGGCGTAATGATTAACTGTTTCAGATTATTATTAGTTCATAGTTTATTAAAAAATATTTAATAAAAATAAATAATTAAACAATGATTGTTTCTTAAGAAATGTGAAATGTCATTGATAAAATATAGGGAATGAATCACGGAAACATTCCACTAGTCCTGCCAATTCACGAGTTACTACTACTAATCAAATCGATAGAATCAAGTCATCCAATAAAACACTCTTGGGGTTCGTGATACGACACCATTAATGACAAAAGCCATAAAACCCCACTTTATATCATCAATCAATAGTAGCTATTTTAATGTTGGATTTTGTCAGATTCTATTTTAATGTTGAAAACTACGTGTAAACGCCATGAAAAAAGCTCTTTGATTAATCGATTTAATTTTCATGTGGGTTCCAAAAATGTGAAACTTAGGAACCTAATGAATAAAACGTAACATGTGATCACATCATACTGGTTTATTTAATTTGGTTAGGAATTTGATTAAACCAACAAAAAGAAAACAAATGTTGTCGTTTGGTTCTTGCGCGTGTGCGTCCGTCGAGGGAGGGAGGGACGGTGCAGAGAACAACGTCACATATATCTGTGAGTAACCCCACGTCTTTGATTGTCGGTTCGGTCTCATCCACCGACACTCGAAACAATATTTTCATTTGTTTACAAACTATATAGATTTTTGTTTTAAATTTTGAGATCTCTTTCATATCTACCAATTATGCATCGGTCCAAATATGTCTAGTAGCAAATTTCATCTTTAGTTTGGTTGCTTCTTTACCTGACGGACGTCATTTTTCATAGGGACACCAATAATTTCATGGTTAGCTGCTCATTCAACAATAGTAGTTTCAGACTTTCAGTTTATAACAAAGATTGGGTTCGAGTTGACTTTTCGTTTGAAAGAAACGTATCTAATAAGTCAATCCAAAATTATTTTGGTTTAGTTTGATTACAATAATCTTTTGCGATAGTATATCTACTATTTTGGATTGTTTTGGTTTGTAGTTTTTGAATGACATTTATTCTTATTTAGGTTTGGTTTAGTTTAATGCACAGGTCAAATGGCACTTAAGTCCATATCATTTTCTTGCATTGGAGACAAGAACAATATTAGTCTAACCATTATCGCCGCCAAATACTCAGATTCGTAGTTTTAAAAAATGATTTTTTGGGTGGACAACCATTACACGTAGTTGAACTACCGATACAGAGGTAGATGAAATGATTTTGTTTCTTTGTTAAACTTTGAAGGTTTTAACATTTTTTAGTGTCGAAATTTGTAATCGATATTTAACAATGATCCACTTTTTTAATCATATTGTAATCGGATTCAAATTTGACCATATCTACAAATCGCTTTCAAACCGAATAAATTGACTGCATATAGATTCCGAGAATAGTTCATAATGGTTTAAGTTATATATCAACTACAAATTAAGCATTAGACCAAAAATGAGAGAGAAGATGGTTAGCTTTTGTCTACTTCTTCTACTCGCATAAAAAAGAACGCCGAAAGTGAAACTTTTTAACAAAGTGGGCTTTGAGTTCGCATTGTGTGTTCTTATTCAATAAACTTTTGTTGTCTTTTGAGAAGTTGAAAATCTGAGATTTCACAAAGAAAAAGGAAAAAGAAAAAGAAGAGAGGAGAGGTTAGTAGTAGAAGAAAATCTTTTAGTGGGATACTCTTGCCTAGCACCGGGTAAGCATCATGGGGTCTACTCTCACGTCTCATTCCACAATGCGACAACAACAACATCATCAAAATATGGCAATCTGACTTGGTCAATTTCTTAACCATATTTGTAAATTCTCTTTTTTCAGTTATCTATTGATTATTGAATGCATCAATAGACACATGCTTGTACTGGGGGAAAAAAGCAGATTCTCTTCTCTTTTTTTTTTCTTTTCTTTGTAAAGCATAAAGAGTGAGGCGGACAACCTACAAAATGCTTCAACATTATGGATTATGTGAGTTTCTAATTTTTATAAGATGTTTAAATAAAACAAAAAATTATTTCATCTAATTTGATGTTTTTGTATTTTAATGCAAGATAAGAATATGTAAAATCTTTTCAAAGTTTATTATCCCTACAATTATCTCTTATCATTTTTAGCAATAATCATTTCACAAAATTTTGTGCGCAATAGGCCAATAGAAAATGAAACGGAGAACTACTATTTTGTATTTATTTTCCTTGTTGAATCATTCTCAAACATAAAATCGGAAAATAGCCATTTGAGCCTCGAGGCCCAAAAATTCCAAAAACCCAAAACCAAGTTAAGTGGCTCTACATATATGAGAAATACAGTGCAAAATGAAAACGGATTGGGTTATGTTTTTTGTTTACGGTGTCTGGCCAGCAACGACTCATCAGTCATCACCGATTCTTATTTGTTTTGTAGTTGTTGATCTAGAAATAGATTTCAGCTAACGACGTATAAATAAATATGCGTTCGTTTCATAGTTTATGGTAACAATAATATATACTCCCGCTGATTGCTAACCCAGAGTTATTTTCTTTTTCAAAACAAATTTTTTTTTTTTTTTTTTGATAACCCAGTATCCAGACCACACAGTGATCTGACTAGTCCACTGGGCCTAAGTCCACTGGGCCTAAACCCACGTCACAGGGATTTTTAAGCCTCCACTTAAGAGCCCCCTGATAAACTGGTGGTCTGGAGCGCCTGAGCAAGTCCGCATGTAAATTCTCAGGTGGCCACAGGAGTGAGAGAACGAAACTGCGTCTGGGAAGGATCGATCCCTGGCCTAGACCAACAGGGCGATCCTTCCAACCAAACGAGAACCACTCACCCACCACCATGTGGTTTTTTTTTTTTAATTTTATTTTATCTCCCCCAGCTACAATTACGTGTGAGTGACTAAACAATAAGAAATATAAAGGGATAATAAATCATCCATTGTTTACTACAAGACAACGGTCACGGAAAGGTACACCCGATATTCAAACCCCCAACTCCACTCCTAAAACATGATAAAACCCTAGATTAAAAAAGAAGAGTGCAGAGAAAGGACAAGAACCATCTACGACGAAACTTGGGTGGCTACTGCAGAGACCATTGAGTTAATCCCACATATATCATGGCCACGACACAGCTTGTAGTATCCATTCTCTCCCCACTTCTTCCCCCACGAGTTCTTGATAATCCAATAGGGTTTATTACTAAGCCGCAAGATCGAAAACCCTTTTGATCCGTACCCAACAAGAAGTACCCCGTGGTTAACCTTTCTCTTGCTGCATATAAGCGGACACGACACTCCTCCTATATACGTTTGCATGAACACCGCGTTTAATCCCACTGCAGTGTAATTAAACACAACAACAAAGCATTAGTTATTTGTCTTCTAAATATTTGGACTTTGAACACAAAAAAAAATTGGTTTTAGCTACAAATAACACACATATAAGTTGATATATTTCACCTGCTAAGGGACCCTGTCGAACTAAATTTGCTGCGATTTGGTCCTCATCTAGTGGTATAGTCGTGAAGTTCACTACTCTTACCGCAACCTTCTCAGGATCGAACTTGCAATGGCCTCGTTTACCGGTGTAAGGATATGACCTTTCTTCTTCTAATCCTCCTGCCTCCATCAAATACTCGTAGGCATTTGTCATGAGTCCCCCACCACATCCATTGTCACATGCTTTCTTGTCCTTTGGATCGCACTATACTCATATTTATATGCCAAATAAATTTTCAAATTACAAAAAAGGTTAGGATCAAGTCATATTAAAAATTCATTGATTAATGGATTAAAAACAGACCGCTTGATCACAATCGACAAGTTGTTGCTCGCTAAGACTGAGGAGCTTCCCGGTGGAGACGAAATGGGCTCCTTCAGCTGCTCCTGTTGTGCTAAAAGCCCAGCACGATCCACATGCACCCTTCACATAAGCACATGCCATATAGTTAAACAACCATTGAATTTTATATGACATAAATTTCACAACAAATTAACCCCAAACAAAATTTGTATCATAAACTAGACATTTCTGTGTAAAACTATCAATTTAGTATCCAACTAAAAAATTTCCAAGTAACATCAATTACTAACATAAACTAGAATGCTCTAAGCTAATTAGTAATTACGTGCCTAATTACAGAATAAAATAAATAGTACAAACTAGATAATCCCACTATTTCTCCTTATGTTTTTGGCTGCATCAAATCTTTTTTTCAGGTTAAACGTGAAAATTTCTTATAATATATATCATATATATATGGTATAATTAAGAACATACTTGATTCTTGACCTCAGTAACTCCACCTTTCTCCCTCCAGTCAAAATCTTCAGGCAATCCATCAACCTCAACCATAGGTGCCTCCGCTCCAACCGCATGGCCACGGCTGCCGCCAACATCGGCTACTCCAGTGTACATCCGCTTGAACTCCTCTTCCGTGAGGTCAGAGAATTGTGTGACTCCGTGGACGGCGGTGGGGTCCATCATCTGGTGCTCTGCCGCCTTGAGGACGTTTTTGGCAAATATTCCGAGGCGGTGGATGTACTCCTCCCTCGTCGAGTAGTTCTTGCCGTAATCGGACATGAAAACCCGGAATTTACTCTCGGTGTGAGTCCCAAGAAGATTCGGGCGTACTCGCCGCTCGTCCGCCGTGACTTGGCGTATGGTCAGGTCCTCTACGGAAGCTACAACGTGGCAGAAGAAGATGATGCATGTTATCAGCTGTGCT